GTACTTCAAGTCTGGTGCAAAAACGCATGATCGCACGGGCCCGCCCGGTGCGTTTCAGCCTGGGTTTCGGTTAAGTACATGGCGGAGGCTGTATTGATGATTCCCGCTTCTCTCTGTACGCAAAGTTCGGTTTGTATTTACAGCAAACGGATGAAGCACAGACTGATCCTAACGTGTCTTTTTACGTATGAACACCAGTCCATTCTATTCTACTATTTGAAACCCCCGTATAAAATACACGCGGAGCACACACACAGGGTCTCGATAATATGCGTTTTGTGCAATTGTTGCAGCACAAGACAAAAAAATGAAGCCCAACAGTAATGTTGGTAACATGTAACTTGCCACAGTGATGTTCAAAAATCTTAGTACCTGTTTCAGTAAATCCATTCTTCCAATTCTAATCTTTATAAAGCACTGTGAGCTTGAAAGGGGAAACTATAGACTAACGTTTTGTTAGGCGTTTCTTTGCTGCTTGGCGGTGGAGCATTGGGCGGTGACGGTGGATAAAAGCCAGGTGGAGTTGGCTGTTGCATTTCGGAGATCTCTGCTACTGCACAGCATGTTCGTTCAGTCCGTAGTGCCGTGGTACTGTTGGAGTTGTACGCTTTATCCGGTAACTTCATACATCGACAGCATATGCATGCCGATACACATAAACATGCGCATATGCTAACCGCCGCCATACAAATGAGCAGAATTGTAAAGCCCGTCAGCGAGCCCAGCGGACCGTCCTCTACAGCTGCAACTCATTCCTTTTGAGCTCCCACTTTTTGAATCACCAAACAGCAAACTAGTTTTTATGCACATTCGCATAGCTCAAAGAAATGCATCACTTATGAAACAAGTTAGTAATTACGTGCAGTACGTCTTAGGTGTGCGTCAGTCGTTTGACTTGAGGACCACGAAAACTAGGTTTAAATTTGGAAACATAGTTTTCTAGCCATGTGCAGGCTTTTTGCTGTCGCCTGTGATTACTTTTAGTGCTCTTAATACAGAGGTACTGAAGAGATGGACACTTTGAAGATGTCAACGATGCTGTGAATATTCCAGTCGGCAGCCGTCCTGTGTACAGTCATCGGCTGGAAATTATTTTGTAAGCAGAAGCAGAAAATTCAGGAAGACCACGAAATTTCGACAAATGTGCGCCAGTATTCGCATTTTTATGCATTTTTGTTGTGCAGTGCTATGGCGAAAAGGCATATTGTGAAAACCCCGGTGTGTGTATGTATCTGTGCGTATGCGTACGTGTACGCTCGTGTGTGTATGCGTGTGTGTGCATCTGTCCAGGTATTTCAATTCGGCAATCAAGCAAGCTCCGGGGCCAAAACTTTGCCAGCGGGTTCCCCGGCCAAATGCCACCCCAGGACCGAATCCTCACGCACGTCTGAACCCCGCATACGACCACGTGAAAGTTTTGGCAGGAAAATCGCTAACTCGGGAGCCAGGAAAGCTGAAATTTTAACAGAATGCTTCCTTCCCAAGCACCACATGGTAGTTGTACAATTAACTCCCTAAATTTTGAGGACCAGCTTGTCACAAATTCTACCTATTGTGATTCCAAGCGATCTTACTACAGTATGAAATACCACAAAAACGCATGATCGCACAGGCTCACCTGGTGCGCATCGCCAATGATTCATTTTGTCAGTGTTAGCTATTTCAGTCTAAGACGTCAAAGCAAAAACTGAAATTAGAAGAGGTATAAACTAACAATCGCATTTGTGCGCAATTTGCAGCTCGCGTATTAGATCAGATCCGTCTTTGCAATCTGGATAGCGGTTGCAAGCAAGTTCGGCTGGAATGCATTCCTGATTTTTGCACGTGAACTCGCGTTGATTATTACACGGTGCTAAAAATGACGAGAACTGAGATTTCAGGTTATAAGTTAAAAGTAAGAAAATTGCTTGAATCGCTAATTGATTCCTCTCATGCCGCCATTACTTGCTTGTTGGAAAGAATCGCCAATTGATTCACAAACGAATATATTGGCAAGTGGGACACCGTGAAAATAGTGATACGCATCGGAACCCGGCGCGATCACGTGTTTTCATGACTATCTGTTAAAAAAAGATACTGAATGAACGGATCAGTGCATGCATATGAGGAATGTGCTGCATCGCGACAGCTCTGTTCCCTTTGCAGCCCATCAAAATCTCGAGTTCCCAGACTGTTCCTGTTTCGAGTACAACATGAACCTGAGTTGAGTCAGGGATTGAAACTTAAGGTATTTAGACATCTGAAAGATAATTTGACTTTCGTGGCACTGCAGGTAGCTGACTAATACGATAACAAAATCTCGGATCCCCAGCTTTCGCTATTCTGAGCCAAATTCGAGTAATTTGAGTAGACACTTTTGGTATCGCAATCATGTCATAATCTATTTTGATTATATGGAAATATTTAGAAAATAACGCACCAATGTTGGATTTTCGAAAAGCGGACCACAACAAGCGAAAGCCTTCACCACTGTGCTGTAGCGGTAATTCGGCATCAGTGTGCCACCAGAGTGTAAGCGCATTTTCTGTTGAAACCGTTAATTCGCTAGAATTCTTGATAGCGCCGCAAAACTGACCAAGTATGGGCCCGGGTGAAGTATCTTCTTGTGTTGCATCACGTAAGGCTTGCAAATCGATTGGCTTCTCATGCTACAACTTTAAAATTCATACGCATTTAATCCTAACCTTTAAGATAATGTGTTTTATTAATATAATCCTCAAATTACGGGTTTTTAGCTAAAAAATAAATGTGTACTGAAGACAACAGAGGACTTAGCAAAAGTTAGCTGCTGGATTACTACACCAGCTACTACTTTTTAGAACTTATGCATGTGGTAAAGACGAAAAGGAAATGATAGTAGTAACGTTGAACGAATGGCTTCATCTGATATTTTGAATTAAAGAAGACAGCAGCAAAACAGATTTTCCAGAATGTTAGAAATACATAAAGAAAAAGATTATAAAAGCGTCTGCAATAACCATCCAATGAAAGTGGTATTTTTCAGTTTTATTGAACTACCGGCTCTGACTGCAAACGAATGGGTTGCCATGCTTCTTAAGGGATGGAAGTTAATTATAAGTCAATGAGTTACTGACCATTATGAAGGGGGCGTCAGTGGATTACAGCATTAAAGAGTTGCAAGTGAAAAAATGTCATTAAAAGCGTATCCCGTAAAGAACTAAAATAGTGTTGTGTTAAGGATGAGAAATAAAACACGGACGAATTTGATTCCTGAATAGTGCATCTGCGATGTTAAACGAATACCGGAGAAGCAGCTAATGAAGGCGCACACTGGGATCACACGGACGTGACCAGCTTAGAAATGAGGAGAATAAAAAAGATTCCAACTGCATGCATAGGAACACAGTGATGATTTTGCGGCTATTCGAATTATCAAAGTATTATATCACATACAAACTTCTTATGGCCAAAAAGAAACTTAAATGCTAGGGCGCAAAGCTAGCAATGATGGATACATGGCGTAAGAGAAAAATGTCGATTCTCTCCCTCCTCGACGAAGGGGCACCAAAATTTTCGAAATGGCATGCTAAATTTAAATGAAATATTGGTCAACTCCAACAAAACAAGCATAAAAGTTGATTTATGGACGCTAAATTGTATATTAAAATTGAGGAGAAAAATGTCAAGCACAAATATTACAACAGCAAGGAACGAAAGTATTCTCACGGAGCACCGTCAAATCATACTGAATTGACCTACATCTTCTTTTCTGCATTTTTGTACAAACCACAGAATTCACTTATGAGCAGAGCTGCATTAATTAGCAAATTAAATAAAAAATTAAGCAGGTGTTCTGAATTTACCACTAGAAAATTCAGCGGAATCCAGTGTTTTGCTGGATGAAATTGAACTTAACTAACAGCAGCGATTTTTCAAGGACTGATCGAAATTTTTGAAGTTTGGCAGAGCGGAACTTTAAAGCCTTTAAATACACAAAGTGAGCAGAGGCTCAGAGTACATATGGTGTTCAAGAGATTTACAATATTTTTGATTTGAAAAACAGTAAGTAATGTTTTCTACTGAGTAATCACAAAATTACCGTCAGAAAAGACAATTCAGCCGATCTGCAGATCAAAATAGTCACCCTGCCGATGATAACGCTATTTCTTTAAATAGTCAGCTGGAAACAATTTTAAATGGCACCAGTGTGCAAGACTCTCAAGTAGAATGCTGTCAAAAAAGAATGAACAGCGTACGTCAAATACATGAAGAGTGTCCTTGTCGCAGTTGTGAGAATCACCAAGTACATCGAAATCGAGAACGCGAAGTCGAATGCGATAACCAACTGGTGCCGTAATCAGCAGAAAACAATTTTTGGATGCATTATACGGGACACTCCCATATAGTTGATGTGATATTAGCAAGCCAGATAATGCTGAGACACGTCGCTCAAGCTTCGACCTACAGCTGTCCATATACCCCGTGCCATCAAAATAACCTGAATATGCCAGTTTTTCATAGAGTTTTTCAGCTGCCGTACCTTAAAATATGAAGTGTTTTTTTTCCAGAAAAAAAACTAAGTAGATATTGGAAAAAATAATTCGAATGACAAAGACTTACTTATTTGTGGTTCATATGATAAGACAGCATTACAAGGAGTGATCAGAATACATACTGTGGTGAGCACTAGCTGGATCTTGCACAGCATGCAAAAAGCTGACGTTTCAGTCAACAACCGCACTGAGGAAACAAACAGTGCGAAAATGTTAGGAATATTTCGCATGACAGTAATAGTAATAATAATGGTGAAGATGTTATCAAAAGTGGTGATTTTGATCGCTTCGCACTGCTAAATCTTGTAAGCATTTCATGCAGACAGTCTCGTCCGATCTAAAAAATCAAAATTCTTCGAAATGAAGACTACAAACTTTCATTTCGAAATCTTGTGAAAAAAAAGTCAATCACTGGCGACGCGCATCGGATGGGCCCGTGCAATCATGCCTTTCTGCAGTATTTCGTACTGTTGCACGATCGTTTGGAGTCCCAGTAGCTAGAGTATATGGCATACTGGTCCTCGAAGTTCAAGGAACTAATAATGGTACTTGGGCAAGAAAAATTCCGTCAAAATTTCAGCTTTCCAGTTTTCTTGATTCTCAAGTTAGCAATTCTCTTGATAAAAAATTTCAAAGGACCGTGCGTGAGAGGCACGTGTAGCTGGAGGCTGAATTTGAAATATTTAAGCTGTATTTGGGTTGGGAAAATCCCCTTCAAATTTTGATCTCCCAGCTTTCTCGGTTTTCAAGTTTACGATTTTCCCGCCAAAAACATTCAGAGAGCCACGGGGGCTGAATTCGAAGCCTTTGAATTCTACGAGGACGGGGAACACAATCAAATTTCAACTTTCTAATTTTCTTGGTCCCCCAGTTAGTGATTTTCCCGCCAAACCTTCCAAGTGCTCGTACGGTGTGCCTAGACGTGCACAAATGTTGGTACCGCGATCCTGGGGTGACACTTGAGTCGGGAACCCGCTGGCAAAATTTTGGCGCCGGAGCTTGCTTGGTTGCCGAGTTGAAATACCCGGACAGACTGACACACATATATACAAGCACACACACACCGGGTCGTCACAATATTCGTTTCTGCATTTGCATATGCGAAAAAATGCATAACAAGTGACAGCACAAACAGAGCATTAAATACGCACTCGTGATGAAGTGTTCCTGTTTGTCTTTTTTGTGCAAATGAGAGTGAGAAGCCACCGGCTCAGACAGACTATAGCGTCTATGATGTTTCAACATTCTAAACAAGTCTGATTACCGCGAGAGGGGGATGTTGACACTTTTGCAGATGGAAAATTGTTGCGTCCGCACAGGGGTCTGAGGGTGCTCAAAAGCTAATTTCAGGCTTTCGTAGGCCCATACAAGCAGATAACGCCCTACTAAAATTTCAACTTTCTAAAAATTTGATTTTCGAGGAAGAAGAATGCCGACAATTTTGTAGATTGAGCATTTAAAGTGCCAAAGGAAAAAGCATGTGTTATAGACTCTTCAGTTTTTATGCGTTTTTGCTGTGCAGCGCTATAGCGCTGCTACAGCCAGCAAAAACGCATATT